TGATTGGTGAATTGGGTATGTGAATTTGACCTAATTTAAGCAAAATTCCTAGATTGGAATTGGTGGGTTGCAAATATTGTGTAATTCTACGGAAAATGGGTGTTATGTGGGCATGCTATATGTTTTATATCATGCTTCGTAAATAAGGTGAAATTCTTGTGTGATAACACGAACTATTGCCTTGAAGGTGTTTGTCAAAATGCCTATGTATGGATTGAGTTGTTATGATATGATGATGTATAACATGCTTAAAAAATATGTTGGAAAGGAATGTTAGTATGTGCTCATTGAGATATTGACATTGTGATGATTTATATGCTTATGATATGAATTTCCATAGAACACGTAGACATGTGGTTTAAAATTGCTCATATGATATTCATTACATGTGGGCATGATGTTGAAATAACAATGATGCATTACATTGCATATGCACATAGACATCACATTTTATAGGTGTGGGTGCATGGTTGGCATCAAACACCACGTAGGTGGATGATGAGTGGGCTCAGGAAAGTTAGATTGAATGTCTGACTGAGTTGCACGGTTGCATGAAAAGGACTTGGGTCGGGGTAGCAAGAAGGGTTAGACTGTCCCTCGGGTGAGAGACCTGGTATTTGGATATGCACTTTCGTTGGTATAAGAACCCATAAAGTGTGTCGGTGTACACGGAACCGTTGGTGGAAGTCCATGAATTCCGTGTCGATTGGGTGACCGTTGGTGTAAGTCCATAAATACCCACCCCAAGAAAGACCTAGAGATTTTAGTTAGCCATTGTGTGTGTAACGCAAATGGCGGGGGCTTGGAAAGCCCGATTTTAATACTCACTGCATAGCATGGGGGGAAGGTAAATAGCCGGAGCTAGACAAGCTTGGTTCTAATATACATTGGCATTGCATGTGTTGTGGAGCCGGAAAAGGCTCGGGTAAATTGCATGAATGGGCATCATCTCATTTCATGGCATGGTATGTTAGATTTCAACCTTGACTTGCGTAAGTGTTGGTTGGAATGATTGTTGTTGTTAAATGTTGCATGTGAACATTGCATATGNACAAATGGCGAGGGCTTGGAAAGCCCGATTTTAATACTCACTGCATAGCATGGGGGGAAGGTAAATAGCCAGAGCTAGACAAGCTTGGTTCTAGTATACATTGGCATTGCATGTGTTGTGGAGCCGGAAAGGGCTCGGGTAAATTGCATGAATGGGCATCATCTCATTTCATGGCATGGTATGTTAGATTTCAACCTTGACTTGCGTAAGTGTTGGTTGGAATGATTGTTGTTGTTAAATGTTGCATGTGAACATTGCATATGTATTTAGGTTGGGGAGTAGCCCTTGTAGGGAATACTATACTAGGCGTTGACTCACCCTATATGGGAACACATTTCAGGTGCGGGGTTTGCATCGGTGCAGGACTCACATTCGGGGCCTCAAAGATGAAGAAAAACTGATTTGTGGCTTTTGGAAACAAGTTTTGTAAAAACTTTTGTAAAATTCTATTTTGAGCATGTAATTGTGTAAATGGGCTTGTAATTATATGGAATTAATTGTAATAGAACTGGCATGGNATTATGAATGCACAGTTTTCAATCATTTCTTGAACGAATCATCAAAGTTCACCTAAAGCCTGTTCAATCCAATTGCATAGACTCTGCACTTGCACATTAAGTAGACCATTAACAGTAAATGTTTAATGAAAGGGTTCNATACTAGGCGTTGACTCACCCTATACGGGAACACATTTCAGGTGCGGGGTTCGTATCGGTGCAGGACTCACATTCGGGGCCTCAAAGATGAAGAAAAACTGATTTGTGGCTTTTAGAAACAAGTTTTGTAAAAACTTTTGTAAAATTCTATTTTGAGCATTTAATTGTGTAAATGGGCTTGTAATTATATGGAATTAATTGTAATAGAACTGGCATGGATCATGTATAACGTAAAAAACTATATTGTACATGTTTGGAATTTTTGTGAGAAGGTTTGGAACGAATTAGAAATGAAAAATAGGTGAAACAAATAATTCTGGGCAAAACCTTCCAAAAGGTTGTAATAAAACCTTCCGAAAGGTTTGGACAGACAAGGAAAATTGTTGGACAGTGGGTGAAACCTTCCGGAGGTCCATTCTAACCTTCCGGAAGGTCTTTACATTTTTATAAAATAAGGGAATCTAGTGTGCAACTTCTTCCGGAAGATTTAGCACACCTTTCGGAAGGTCGACACTTCTGTCTTCAAGATAGGGTTCTAGTATGCTAAATCTTTCGGAAAGTTGAGGGAATCTTTCGGAAGGTTTTTCAAAAATCTAAAATTTTAAGAATATATTGGCATGCTTTTGGGCTATGTGTTCTTTGGTTCCAATGACTCAGATGGACCTTAAATGAGATACATTAGAGTATGTTGAACCTCAATGGAATTAAATGAATTAAAGGAAACATGGATCCATTCATGGGTTGTAATTCCAGTTATAGGGATGTGATAGGTGTGATGTAGGGTTATGCGACAATCACGGGTATTTTCGCGGGTTGATGGGAGGTCAACGGGACCCCCGATTTTAGGGGCGTCACATAGGTTGTATCTATATATGGCTAAAAAATGCAGTAAAAAGCTAAAGTTCCTTCCACTTTATTGGTGTGCCATAATTAATATCAACTGAAAGAGCATTCTTAATGGAAACAAAGAGAACTGCAAGGGAAAGAGAAGTGGATGATGCACTTAGGCAATAAATAATGGGAACAAGATCTAATGACTCCTGAAAACTGGCCAATTAGAATAGTTAAAAATGAAACTAAGCATTTTTTAATTCTATTTGAAAGTAGAGTGATCCCAATTCCCAACCAAAAGCTGAAGGCAACATTCAAAAGAAGAAAAAAAAAGGTGATACATATGTAATCATTGCACTACACTGAAATCAACATAAAATGCACAAAAATTACAAAATTTTAAAGCTTAAACAACCTAATATGTATGCATTTATGTACCTGCAAATACACATTCCATCAATGTTCTCCGTTATGTGGTTGCATTCTTATACTATGTAGATAAGGCTGGAATAACTTCAAACAACACTAATAATTATACTAAAAAAACATTTCAGAACACTTTAGGTAGGCTGGCAGCATTGGAGAATCTCCTAGAGATGAATGATTCATTTGTTCTTTCAATACTAATNGCGGAAGGTCAACACTTCTGTCTTCAAGATAGGGTTCTAGTATGCTAAATCTTTCGAAAAGTTGAGGGAATCTTTCGGAAGGTTTTTCAAAAATCTAAAATTTTAAGAATATATTGGCATGCTTTTGGGCTATGTGTTCCTTGGTTCCAATGACTCAGATGGACCTTAAATGAGATACATTAGAGTATGTTGAACCTCAATGGAATTAAATGAATTAAAGGAAACATGGATCCATTCATGGGTTGTAATTCCAGTTATAGGGATGTGATAGGTGTGATGTAGGGTTATGCGACAATCACGGGTATTTTCGCGGGTTGATGGGAGGTCAACGGGACCCCCGATTTTAGGGGCGTCACATAGGTTATATCTATATATGGCTAAAAAATGCAGTAAAAAGCTAAAGTTCCTTCCACTTTATTGGTGTGCCATAATTAATATCAACCGAAAGAGCATTCTTAATGGAAACAAAGAGAACTGCAAGGGAAAGAGAAGTGGATGATGCACTCAGGCAATAAATAATGGGAACAAGATCTAATGACTCCTGAAAACTGGCCAATTAGAATAGTTAAAAATGAAACTAAGCATTTTTTAATTCTATTGGAAAGTAGAGTGATCCCAATTCCCAACCAAAAGCTGAAGGCAGCATTCAAAAGAAGAAAAAAAAAGGTGATACATATGTAATCATTGCACTACACTGAAATCAACATAAAATGCACAAAAATTACAAAATTTTAAAGCTTAAACAACCTAATATGTATGCATTTATGTACCTGCAAATACACATTCCATCAATGTTCTCCGTTATGTGGTTGCATTCTTATACTATGTAGATAAGGCTGGAATAACTTCAAACAACACTAATAATTATACTAAAAAAACATTTCAGAACACTTTAGGTAGGCTGGCAGCATTGGAGAATCTCCTAGAGATGAATGATTCATTTGTTCTTTCAATACTAGTTATGAATGCACAGTTTTCAATCATTTCTTGAACGAATCATCAAAGTTCACCTAAAGCCTGTTCAATCCAATTGCATATACTCTGCACTTGCACATTAAGTAGACCATTAACAGTAAATGTTTAATGAAAGGGTTCACAAAAACAAACTATTATGTGCTCTGCTCCATCACAACTAAAGGGAAGATGTAACACCCCGCATTTTCTTTTATATATGTATATAGATATATAGTAAATAATTGTTGTAAAAATGGGGATATGTGTAGTGATGTGTGTTTGAATTTGGTAGAATGAAAAAGGGATGAACAGTGCACTGGCTGTAACATCAAGCTCGATTTCGACCTTGATGCAGTCCATATCTCTCAAAACTTAAAACATGAAATTTGTAGANTTTTTGGGGCGTTACAGAAGAGATGAACAGGAAATAAGCCTGAAGAACTGAATCCAAATCAGTAATGCATAGACCATAAGGGTTTGATGTATCATCCCAAAGTAGGACCAATCACTCATTTATGTNGTTATGAATGCACAGTTTTCAATCATTTCTTGAACGAATCATCAAAGTTCACCTAAAGCCTGTTCAATCCAATTGCATATACTCTGCACTTGCACATTAAGTAGACCATTAACAGTAAATGTTTAATGAAAGGGTTCACAAAAACAAACTATTATGTGCTCTGCTCCATCACAACTAAAGGGAAGAGATGAACAGGAAATAAGCCTGAAGAACTGAATCCAAATCAGTAATGCATAGACCATAAGGGTTTGATGTATCATCCCAAAGTAGGACCAATCACTCATTTATGTACCTGACCATAGACCATATATCAGCAATAGGAACTTTATAGGCTACTAACCAGTCAACAAGATCAGCTATCATGATCTCCTATATAGATGGTGGCGAGCCAACATCTCAGGTATTCCTAATGCAGAAATGCTTTCACATCCAAAAAGCTCTTGAAGCTTTGCATCACATACTATCACCATCGCATTCAGTGGATCCTATTTGTAGGAGAAGAAAAAGGTACNGTATCTATATATGGCTAAAAAATGCAGTAAAAAGCTAAAGTTCCTTCCACTTTATTGGTGTGCCATAATTAATATCAACTGAAAGAGCATTCTTAATGGAAACAAAGAGAACTGCAAGGGAAAGAGAAGTGGATGATGCACTTAGGCAATAAATAATGGGAACAAGATCTAATGACTCCTGAAAACTGGCCAATTAGAATNGGCTCTCAACATAATATCAAATATATGATGAATAACTAAATTAAACAAAACACTAGAAATGAAATTATCCTTGGGATCGCATAGTGAATTCATGCCAAAAAAGAAGACAACGACATTTCATAGTTGTAGTAGATATTCTTCAATTTAATGGCTACCTATTCAAGAAATTGAACTAAAAGCTCCTCTCTATACAAAGTTGAAAATCTCCAAGTCATCTGCACTGCTTAGTCATTACACGCTCCACCAATCCTAACCCATATACTTGAACTTTGTTTTCAAAACATCCTAGTTTTTGACCCTGAAAAAAAAAAACNATAGTTAAAAATGAAACTAAGCATTTTTTAATTCTATTGGAAAGTAGAGTGATCCCAATTCCCAACCAAAAGCTGAAGGCAGCATTCAAAAGAAGAAAAAAAAAGGTGATACATATGTAATCATTGCACTACACTGAAATCAACATAAAATGCACAAAAATTACAAAATTTTAAAGCTTAAACAACCTAATATGTATGCATTTATGTACCTGCAAATACACATTCCATCAATGTTCTCCGTTATGTGGTTGCATTCTTATACTATGTAGATAAGGCTGGAATAACTTCANTCCATTAAACTAGACTTAAAGTTTACGTATCAGATTCAAGAACTGGCACTGAGCGCCTAGGAGGGTAACTACCTACATTTTCTTATTGGTATAATAAACAACTCTTTCTTAGACATACCAAGCTTCACCAAATCAAATAAGAAGGCCAACTTAGAACAACAACGAGGTTATAAAACCAAGCTTAACACAAAACACCCTTAGACAAACAAAGAATTCAATCCAGGCTAAATGAAGTGGAACACATTTCCCATAATCAATCTTATTTTAGCGAACTAGCAAAAACATGCCATGTTATTGTTTTTGAAATAAACGAACTGAAAGAAAAATTGTTCATTTGGTTACAAACCTCAAGTTGATTGACCATCACGTATTCCCAAACACGCCTTAAAACCTCAGGTTGTGAAACCTTAGCCTGAAATTACCCCAAGCCAGACCTTTAATCCAGATACATGAACAGACAATAGCAAGCAACAAGTAGCACTCCAGTTCAAAATACCTTAACATGGAACGTGAAGATTCTAAATTAACTCACAACCTCAACAGCCACCAAACCTCCGTCAATGGACGCTTTTATTGCATCCAACACCAACTGTGTCTTTAGGCTGAGGGTTGGCCACTTAGCTGTGTGCATTGAGTGTTATGGTTATCTAATAGAACACCTTGCATACAATATGTGTGTTGTGCGGAGACAGAGACAGATATAGAGATAAATAAAGAGTCTTGTGGTTACCGACGTAGGAGAGAGATGGAGAGAAGAGAAATAGGGAAGGGAAGAAGAGAGAATGAGAGAATCAAGAAGAGGGGAGACGTCTATTAGGGCATCTATAGAGGTGGTTTGTGCGTAGAAAGGATGACAAAAATAAGGGGTGGGGAAGGGAGAAAGAAAACTACCTCAGAGGGACGCCGGTATCGTGGTGGTGGCTTTGGCCTTCTCTTGGAAAACTGGTAATAACCAAAAGAAAATTAGTTGGAAATCATGGGCTTGATTTCACCCATCGGCTAAGGGTTAGGAAGCGTCGCTGTCATTATTGTTGGCGATGATTTGCTTCAACTGAGATGGGGGTGGAATAACAGAGATGAGGGTGAGAGAGACAGAGACAGAGGAGCACAAAGAGGGGCAGAGATATGAGGGAGATGGGGGTAGAGAGAGGGCGGGTAGACGGGAGAGAGATGAAGTTTAAATTTTTTATTTACTTAAAAATTTATTGGCGACGTTTTAAAAAAATGTTGTGAAAAATAATTTAATTATTATTTTTAAAATTTTTTATTTACGTAAAAAGTTATTGGCGACATTTTTAGCGAAAAATTAATTTAATTATTATTTTTAAAATTTTTTATTTACGTAAAAAATTATTGGCGACGTTTTTTCTAAACTCGTCGTGAAAAATTAATTTAATTATTATTTTTAAAATTTTTTACTTACATAAAAATTTATTAGCGACGTTTATCTAAAAATGTTGAAAAAAATTAATTAAATTATTATTTTTTTGTTTAATTTGCCAATTCCCACTAAAATAGAAATTTTTAAAAAAACGCTGCAAAAAAAAACTTATCAAAAAAATTGCCAAAATAGAAATTTGCAACAAAATTACAAAATCGTCGCGAATAGTNGTTTAATTTTCCAATTCCCACTAAAATAGAAATTTTTAAAAAAACGCTGCAAAAAAAAAAACTTCTCAAAAAAATTGCCAAAATAGAAATTTGCGACAAAATTACAAAATCGTCGCGAATAGTAAATTTTTTGCGACAAATTTAAAATCGTCGAAAAAAAAATATCGCAAAAAGTATNTGTTTAATTTGCCAATTCCCACTAAAATAGAAATTTTTAAAAAAACGCTGCAAAAAAAAACTTATCAAAAAAATTGCCAAAATAGAAATTTGCAACAAAATTACAAAATCGTCGCGAATAGTAAATTTTTTGCGACAAATTTAAAATCGTCGAAAAAAAAATATCGCAAAAAGTATTTTTTGTTGTAGTGAATTCTCTTGTTTAATGTACACTTAGTGTAAATAAAGTGTGGAAAAATGAGTATAAAAATATGGTAAACCTAACTTGCATGAATTGAGTTTGTAGGATTTACTTGTTTGGTAAATTCATGAAAAATATAGGTACTTGAAATGTGGGAAATGAGTATTAAGAATGGGTAAAAATCAATTCTAACATGAATTGAGTATGTAAAAATTACTTGTAATTTCTTGAGAAATGTGATCATTTGGGCATAATATGTGTCACATAATTTTGTGCCTTGAAGGTTTTTAATAAAATGCTTATTTGGATTAAGTGTGTTATTTACATTGATTATGTTATCACATGCTTGGAATATATATGGAAAAGGATAGAGTGTTAGATATGTAATCTTATGTTTAGCACTTACCTATGGTACTTGAAATGTGGAAAATGAGTATTAAGAATGNAAATATATATGAAAAAGGATAGAGTGTTAGATATGTAATCTTATGTTTAGCACTTACCTATGGTACTTGAAATGTGGAAAATAAGTATTAAGAATGATTAAAATCAATTCTAAAATGAATTGGGTATGTAGAAATTACTTGTTGTGATTTCTTAAGATATATGATTATTTGGAAATAATGTGTTACATAATTTTGTGCCTTGAAGGTGTTTGATAAAACGCCAATTTGGATTAAGTGTTATTTGAATTGATTATATTATAACGTGCTTGGAATTTGATGTCGGTAGCTGTTGGTATATGCATATGATATATTGACATTGAGGTTGTTTATGGTGGTTATATGCTTATAATGTAATTTAAGATGGAAAAAGGGTTGTTGGATATTGAATTGTTCATAATGTAGTTATGACATATTGAACATGGTATTGAAATTGAAATTGAGATCCTAGTTGCATAATGACATGAAATCCAATTGTACATTTATATTATATATACACGGGTAGCATCACATTCGTAGGCATTTGGCAAGAGTGTGGGTGTGTGTGCATGATTTGATCAAACATTATTCTTGGTGAATGATATGTGGGCTCGGTATAGTTAGATCTTGGTTCAATTGAGTAGCACGGTTTGCATCAAAAATAGGGTCAGGGTTAGTAAGAAGGACTAGATTCTCCCTCAGGTGCAAGACTCGGTGATTCGGATATACACTCCGTAGGAATTGAGTACATAAAGTGTGTCGGCATACGCAAAGCCGTTGGTGGAAACATAGTTTTAAAACCCGGCCCAGACATCAACCCGGTGAAGGGACCGGGTCAATGGGTCACTAATTCAACCTTTGGGTCATTGGTCGAACCGGTAATATAATNAGGTGCAAGACTCGGTGATTCGGATATACACTCCGTAGGAATTGAGTACATAAAGTGTGTCGGCATACGCAAAGCTGTTGGTGGAAACATAGTTTTAAAACCCGGCCCAGACATCAACCCGGTGAAGGGACCGGGTCAATGGGTCACTAATTCAACCTTTGGGTCATTGGTCGAACCGGTAATATAATAAAAAATTAAAAAAATAATTATAAATAATAATAAATAGGCTAAAAAATCACAATAATTATAAAAATAATATCAAACATGTAAAGTTAAGTAGAGAAAAGTACCTCTATTGAAGTTCAAGGCTCCAAGTCTAAATCCAACTCTTCGACAATGTATCAATCTAAGCATNTTTATTAGATCTTGAAGGTGTAAAACCCTATATGTTTACATTAATATATTAATGTACTTGTTTAGTGATTCTTCTATATGTAATGACTTAAGAATAAACCATATATATATATTAAAATCGTAAGGATATCACTTATAGTAGTTCGAAGGAATAAAATAGAAATTTTAATGTTCCAAGTGTGAATTTATTTTAGTTTTGAAATAAATCATAAAAAGCAATGTTTTTAGGTTAAAATAACATTAAAAATGAATCCGGAACGTCGAAAAACCTTAGGGTAGTCGTATGGATCAAATTGGAGATTTCTAGTGGTAAAACTGTAATTTTGGAAAAAACTCAAAATTCAGCCATGAACAGTGATTTGCGCGGACTGCTGTGTTTAAAACACAGAAT